TTGATTACAAAAGTGTCCATTCATTAAGGGATGACTACTGGACATTTGATTACAAAAGAGTTGGTGTGGTATGCTTCGTCATGGGGCTTGGTGGTCGTGAATGATTTTCTTGCAGATGTCTGTTGCTGCACTCATGTTCTCCTGCATCGCTTGGAACATGTCGAGCATGAGCACGGTGTCTTGGTCGAGGTTGTTGATGAAGGATTCGGTGATGACCACGTGCCTGTATGGAATTTCCACTGCAGCTTCTTTTATCATATTCTGCCTTGCTTCGTTGATGCTGGTGTATGTGTTTTGGACCATGGCCAATGATTCCTTCATTGTCTCCAGCTGGTTTTGCAGAAAGAACCACACTGCCAGCTCTACAGCAATGAGTGTACCTGCGGTGAGCTGCGCTGTTAGAAGTTTAGAAGAATATAAGACCCCTCTCCACATACCAGAAAAACGCACCACAATACTCACATATCCAACTACAATCACCACAATCAACGTACTGGGGAAGCACAGAGAGTCCATCAAGACGCCGCCACTTCCGTCGACCACCAATAGGAATAGCAGCAGACGACGAAGCACCGTCATCACGGGTCCGCTTCGACGGAACCGACATGACATAGATACACGACGACACAACGGAAATAAAGCAAGCAAAAAAAACCCCACAAGAGCGGAAAGATAAGAAAGAACAAAAGACAAATTTTACCTTACAGAAATGAAAAGTCAGGTCGAGAAATGAAAGCAGATGACCACCAAGAAAGAGAAACACAGAGGAAAACAAAAGGAAGTTCAGCAATTGAAAACCAAATTAACAGGAAGAAGACACATGCAAATCGGTAGAAATTGACACGTAGCTGGGAACTCATTAAAAAAACAATAAATTGACCACTCTTCACCGATTACGAAGAACATAAAGAAGAGAGTCGATGCAGGAAGAAAATAAGAAAAGTGACTAAAGTGGGAAATTAAGCAAAATAGAGGGACACAAAGTTAATATAGCTTGAGGGACCGATTTTGACAAAATAAGGGAACGAATATTGTTACAATCTTTCATAATGTATTTTGATTTTTGGTAATGAAATTAGAAGAAATTGCAAAAAAAAAAAAAGGAAAAAATAGGTATAAATGCAAACTGCATTGCTATTTAGTGCATTTTACCCTTAAAAATGGAAAATACACCTAATGGCAATGTAGTTGGGTTTTTGGAAAACAAAAATCAAAAGAAATAATACGAAAAGCAGGGAAAGAAACGTTCAAATTGAAAGTACACTATCATTCACTACACTTACCATCTAAATATGGAAAATGCACCAAAATGGCAAAGAAACAATAAAATTGAGATATTTGAGCCCAACTTTAGCTCATATGAAATATTACAAAAAAAAGAAAAAAAACTGATTATGATACTCTAATGAAGACAAAAATCATTTATTTATATTTTTCTTCCCAAAAAATAAAGAAAATGATACTTACAGGTACATCTTAAGACTTGTAGTGTGTGTCAGTTTCTAAAATAATGGACCGGGAGTCTGCCAAAAAAAAACATGTTTAAAATGGGATTTATGTCATAATTTGGCAACCAAAAAGAAAAGTATTTAGTTTAAAATGAAAATATTAGGAAATCATAATATTTGGAAAGGAAAATGATAATAATCATGAAGAAAAAAGAATATAACCTCAAGAATTAATTAAATCTTCTTTATACGGTCGAGTCGAATTATAGTTGTGGTGATTGCATGCCAACTGTACCAGCATAAAATTGCATCAACAACATAAAACGCAACATGTATGAGATCATATATTCCTGAAATAATCATAGAAATGCAGTAAGAATATAGATGCTCTGTTGCGGCCCTTGGTCAGATGAAGAAGAGTTACACCAGCCTTACAATTCTTAGCTTCTTCGCAGTTGCCCATACTCGAACAACCAGCTAAATCATTATCGCAAACCCTCCCTTCCCTTGCAACTGCTTCAAAATAAACATGATTGCCACAGGAGCAGTTGTTGACACCAGAATATTAGACGATAGATTTCTCATCCAACACGCTAGAGCACAAATTGGCTGGTAAAAACAAACCTTTTAAGGATAAGATAACAAACTTGTTAAATTTTCAAAAAAACTGACACAAATACTTGGGAAAAAAAACAAAAAATAGCATACATCTATAAAAACTTTCTTGCTTCTTGCTTTCAAAAGACTGTTTGAGGGAGGTGGGGGGTCAATTTCAAAGAGGAACAGATTAATAAAAAAAAAAAAAGATTTTAGTCCTATATTTTCCTGTCAAATGGACCATTTCCCTTAACTACAGACCTGAAAGCCTTCAATGAAGTCCAAAATACCATGAATACTTATGTTATCTGTTACCATTGGCAACAGATGTGTGAAAATGTTTTAATGATGATATAACATTTTAATAAATTCCTAGTACCAATCATATAAGTTGAAAATAAGTCTTATACCCTTACCTTATATGGGGGAAGCGTAATATCAGGTTAGGGTAATAGCATTTTTTGTGACCTGCTCAAAATCAACTTTTTTTTTGTTTATGTTAATGACAATCTTCGCCCATATATTATCGAATACTTGCAGAAATGGTGACGGTCCCTATATTATTAGTTATAACTTATAAATGTCCACAAATGCAAGACTCAACAGAAAATGATTTTTAAGATTAAGAAAGAAGCAATATGTTACCTGAAAAGTATGAAAAGTAGAAAAAAGATGACGCTTCTGCAGTTGTGCTTCACTGTTATATGTTTTTAAATTTGAAACCTAACTAAATTGTTTAAAAAATATGCTAACATTGAATAAAACGGAATAAAAATTCAAATTTTATAATAAAATGAAAAAAGTGGAGTAAACATTTACCTTCATGCATCGACAATCACCAACAAACCCTTCAAATTGAGTGATGGAGAAATCAATCGTTCATTGTGGGGAAATCATCAACAAAGGCCCTGTTACAATTAGAAAAATTAACTTCAGTAAAATGGATGTCGATGTATGAAAGAGCAAAACGATGCAGTAGAAATTCCATGAAATCTTAGATCGAGGAAGCGATGTTATTTTGATGATACCTTGTGGAAGAACTGGCAGGTGAAGGTTGACAAAAGAGAACTCGGAGGTCTTTTAGATTCTTGGATAATTGTCCGATCCATGCCATTTTCAATCTCCGGTTTAACTGGAAACAGTGGTTGCGTCGCAAGAGTAGATTTTGTGTATGCCTTTGTTTAAGTGAGCAGCTTTATCAAAAGCACAATCCTTTGATAAGAAAGATATTAGATAAAACATATGAAAACAGATTGCCATTTCAAACATCCACTGACTAAGGGCATGGAGCCTCTTCATGTGCTTCTTCAAATCGGAGACAAAGCTACTCTATTAATATTTTATATCAATTTTCAATCTATTTTATTAAGATCAGTTCTTGCACTTTCTTTTTGGGTAATAAATAACAATGCAAGTTGTCATGAAGCAATAAAAATATGTATGTATGTGTATTATGTTGAATCCATCAATAACAAAAAATTGAATACAGAGCGAATTCAGATGCTGTAATGCAAAATTATACGATATCAATTACAACATCATCCATGAATAACTCAAAAGACTTGTCTCGGGACATTATTTACTGATAAACATTGATAAGAACAATTTTAAAGAGCACTCATGCTCTGATTCACTCAACTACATAATACAGAAAAAGCAATAACTCAAGAAGAGAGAACTGAATCAGATATGTTATCACATATCTAAAATAATATTTTAGTGAATACGGAAAAAAAAATTCACTGATAGAATGTAAGCAAACCTGGGCATTTCTCATGAAACAACTGAAGAGTTGCAGAAACAGACTCTTTTACATAAAAAAAATACAATGTAAACAGACCTAAATTTCAATTCGAAAGTAAGAACTGAGAGTTGGGGTTGGGTTTTACGGACATACCCGGAATACGTGGAAGAAAGGGGATTCTCTGGGTCTTCTTCCAGACAGTCTCTTGGATCCCAAAATCTTTATCCACAATAAGATAAGTTTGATGTTTGTGGAAATCTTCAATCTATAATCATCATATAACAATTAAATTATATCTCAAAGGAACTCATAAATAATATTGATTAAGCTGTGTAAAGTAAGAAGCTGTTGAGATTCATTTACATCTTTATAACTAAAGGATTCCCAAATAATAGTTTGTAAAAAAAAAAAAATAAAAAAATAAAAAAATAAAAAAAAAAAGCCACCTGCACTGACATCTAATTTGTTGGTTCTACAGACAGAAAAAATCTTCTCACCATTGTCATAACACAGACCTTGTGTTAGGTTTTGTGGCGTAATTGAACATAGGTTACAAAAACAATTGACATGCAACAATCCCTTCTCTCTACACTTTAAGAAAAATTCATTTACAATATTCTTTAGACCAGACATTTCATCGAACACCTAGCATGCAAAACGAAATACAATTCCATGTAATAAGAAATTCTTTCAATAATAGAACCATCAATAAACTCCAAACAATTCAATTGTAAGGAAACAAAATCGTACCTTTAATGGTTTGGAAATATCCTCAGAAGAAAGAACATCTCTTCAACCTCATCAACAAAGACGTCGATGCTTTGTTGACTTCTCAGGTGACCAAGCTTCAAGTGGCGTGTGGCTGTGAGTGCAAAAGATGAAATACTTACTTCTAAAATACACGCTGCAGTCCGTCAGGCGCCATCTAAAATACGTTGAATATTCTGATATGTATTAAAAAAAATTTGATTTCTTTTACAGAACCCAAAACGTGTTTAGTAGAGAAAGAATGAATAAGTTGAGAAAGATGTAGAGGTAGAAAGAGGAAACTTACCTGTGATTCATCAAGAGGAGCACCAAACGTAAAGCGTAGTCCTTCAACTGTCGTCAGGGGTATTATGTTTCTTTAGCAACCTGGGAAAGGAGATTCTTCAATTACTGGTTCTAATCGAGAGAAACAAACAAAATATAGTTAGAAAATGGAAAAGAAGAAGCAGAAGGCAGAAGATGCAGTTATCGAGTGAAATATATTTTGTCTCCATCACCTCTGATTCGGAACTGATAGGGAAAATCTCAACCATTTCTCTGTTCAAGTGCGTTCCTTCTTCGACCATACTGTAATCGAAAACAGATATGGTTAATTAGGCGATTAGTAACATAAATGGTGCCTTCTTATGAAGAAACTAACGACAACTAAAAAACGAATTGCCCTAATTTGAGAAGACAGACATTTTTGGGTGTAGGGCTTACAGAAAGAGACTGTGAAATGTGAAATCGGAGTGGAACCTGCAGTTTGTTTAGTGCGATGATGGAATCCGTGGAAGGTGCGACGGTGGTGGACCGATATGTTTTGTAACGATGAATTCAAAGAAGCTATCAAAAGCAGATGGCAGATGGTGGAAGATCTTATGCAGTTCCATTCGAAAGATGAGGCTGCGCTGCGACCGACCATGGAGAAGACGAATCCGACGTTTTTGGGATGTAAAAGAAAACGGAAGCGGTGGGAAAGCTCTATCTAGATGCAATGGCGGTGGAGGAAACATAGAGGGCAGAGACGACTGAAGATGAGTAATGTTGAAGCGGTGGATCATCAGCACTAAACCTCTAGAAACGTCTGAGAGGTGAAGAATCGGGAAGTAAAAAGCGGTCGGATGTTAGCGGAGCGAGGGAAACTGTAAATCACCTAAAAACCGTAACGAACGTATGTTTATAGTTCAGGGACCATTTATGCCAACATTTTAGGAACCGTTACTTTTGTTCATAACTTTAATATATATATAATAATAATGCATTATAGTTCAGGGACAATTTATGCCAACATCTTAGAAACTTTACTGTTACTTTTCTTCATAACTTTAATATATATATAATAATAATGCATTAATCCATGATTTGTTTTATAAAATTATTGATTTAACTTGATAATTAAAAATAAATATTGATACTTTAAATCTTATTTTCCTTGAATGCATTTTAATAATTTTAATTATTATAAAGTAATATTATAAGTTTCATAATTATTTTTATAGAATTTTTAAGGTTAAAGTTTATAAATATGTGTTTTTTTGGGGGCTTTTTAGAGTTTTGAGGAGTTTGTAAGTCTTTGGATATCAAAATTCATTAAATTTTAAGACTTCAAACTATTTTAGAGTTTCATAACTCTTATTCAAGTTAGAAATAATATTTGTAATTTATTTTTACTGGTTTATTGGCATTCTATGTAGTGATTTCGAGATTTAAGCGAAATTGAGAAATCAAGTATACTAGTCCTAGTCTTCCACTTTACTTTAAGTTCCTACGAGACTCTCGGACCTATTTTATACCACTAGGTCAGTGCATTATGTGTGTATATGATTCATGAAAAGGTGTTCGAGTCAAAGAGCGACCCGAATATGGATATTCACTACAGTTACGTAGTTGTAGAATTCACATATCAATATGAAATCTAAGTGTACTATCCATTGATTCTAATTGTTTCCAAGTTTCTAGTAGGTTATAACATAGCTCCTAGTTACAAAGTCTAGTATGTGTCGTGCTTATAAGTGCAACTAAGTTTAATCAAATCAAGAATCGACTCGAATTTTGACGATTGTCACACTTGGCCAAGCCTGGACTGATTTGATTTGTTCAATTAGTCAGTCATCAAAAATCGGAAATCAGGAAACAACACATGAACAGAGAGAATGATTATAATCCATGTCTCAGTTCATACGATATCCTTTAGAATGTGTTAGGGTACAAAGTCATGTTTGGATGTGGAGTCTTAGGTTTTACCTTCTTGTATGTGTAAATAGGTTGAGTCTTTCCTATAAATAGGAAGTGAGTGACTCCCATTATGTAAGGAACCATTTGGAGTGTTAGACTAGAGAGAGAAATTGTGTACAAACCCATTTGTATATCCTTTCTAGATCTAATATGAGCTTACACAGATTTATTTACTCCTTGTGTTCTTGAGTTTACATGATGATTCACTAGATCTTTTCTAATTCCGCACATGTCATCATAATCAACACCATTACAATTGGTATCAGAGCGGGTGTTCTTGATTTGATCAAGAATTGATCCATGGTCGCAATCTTGATTTGGTGATTCATTTTTTGATCTTTGATCTTCGTGTTTTAGAGAGTTTTTGGATTCTAGAAATCGAATTCATCTTTGATTCTATTCTAAATTCGATTTTCTTCACTAGAATTCAAGTGATTTTTACTTTCTCTCTCAAGAAAACCCATTCAAAATCACTTTCTGATCCGTGTATGGATAATAAAGGCCCAAAAGGTTATGGGTAGCATAATATTGGGCTAGAAAGATTGTTTGGGCTTAATGGCCTATGGGGTGTGCATGGTGACGTAGTTGATGGATTAGGGTTTTCTTAATTAAATTAATAAAAGTTTAATAAATCCAAGACTTTATTGATTGTTTGATTCAAAGCTTGGGTGGTTATGGAAGCATTTGGAAGGGTATCATTGATGGCTCTCTTTAAACTTTGGGAGTTACACTCTTATCATTGATGGCTTTCTTTAATCCTTGGGAGTTACACTCTTTACATCTTCTCATAACCAATTACTAGCAATTGAAGAACAGTTGAAGACATGGACGTTTTTTTGTCATTCTTAAGTGTGGTAGACGTTTTTTTGTGTTATTTCAAGAGTTTCCTTAATTTTCATTTACTAGCTTTAATGAGTAATTGGTTGGTTGGCTTGTAACCACCAACTTTGTAATAAAGGCTTCATATAAAGCCATGTTTATCCATGGAAATGTAATAGACGAATTTTAATCAAAGAACCCTTTTGTTCACTTTGAATTATTGTCATAGTTCACAAATTATCATCTTTTGGACGTGATCCTTGAGTTGATCGAATTCAAGCTAATAGGTCTTAGTTTGTCTTCAGATTTACAAGCCCATACCACTACGTCACCATCACACCCCATAGGCCATACACGTATCATGTATCAGCCCATACCACTTATGATACGTGTATGGGTTGTTTTGTATTGAGATGGAATAATGTTTGAGACAAAAACAATAAAAGGATAGATTTGATAAACAAACTAGACCTATAGCTTGTAAAAGGATAGATTTGACGTAGTTGTATGGGCTTAATGACCCATACACGTATCATGTATCAGCCCATACCACTTATGATACGTGTATGGGCTGTTTTGTATTGAGATGGAATAATGTTTGAGACAAAAACAATAAGAGGATAGATTTGATAAACAAACTAGACCTATAGCTTGTAAATCTGAAGACAAACTAAGACCTATTAGCTTGAATTCGATCAACTCAAGGATCACGTCCAAAAGATGATAATTTGTGAACTATGACAATAATTCAAAGTGAACAAAAGGGTTCTTTGATTAAAATTCGTCTATTACATTTCCATGGATAAACATGGCTTTATATGAAGCCTTTATTACAAAGTTGGTGGTTACAAGCCAACCAACCAATTACTCATTAAAGCTAGTAAATGAAAATTAAGGAAACTCTTGAAATAACACAAAAAAACGTCTACCACACTTAAGAATGACAAAAAAACGTCCATGTCTTCAACTGTTCTTCAATTGCTAGTAATTGGTTATGAGAAGATGTAAAGAGTGTAACTCCCAAGGATTAAAGAAAGCCATCAATGATAAGAGTGTAACTCCCAAAGTTTAAAGAGAGCCATCAATGATACCCTTCCAAATGCTTCCATAACCACCCAAGCTTTGAATCAAACAATCAATAAAGTCTTGGATTTATTAAACTTTTATTAATTTAATTAAGAAAACCCTAATCCATCAACTACGTCACCATGCACACCCCATAGGCCATTAAGCCCAAACAATCTTTCTAGCCCAATATTATGCTACCCATAACCTTTTGGGCCTTCATTATCCATACACGGATCACTTTCTCTCTCTAGAAATCTTCTAGTTTTTGTGATCATGGTGCGTTTGGAGTATGGTTCTTGGTTTGTAATCGTTGAAGGTGTGAAATACAAGGTCAACAAATTTGAATTTTATGGGTTATTGTTTAGTGGGTTGATTTCATTGGATTCTATGGTTTCTTATGGAGGTTTGAAGGATGTTCATGGAAGATTGGTATTTCAACCACTTTCAAAGATTGAATGCTTGTATGATCTTTTCATTATCATGTTAGTTCATAGTGATAACCGAAAAGAAGGAGAAGAAAGAGATTTGTTTAATAGAAGATACATTTCTCTTGTTGAAAACCCAAGTGATCTTCATGCTCTTAAGTTTGTTGAAGATGTTCTTGATGATGATCATCATGTTCTTGATGTTCAAGAAAAAGGAGTTCAATGTGATGTTCTTGATGTTCAAGAAAAAGAAGTTCAAGTTGATTCTTATGATGAAAAAGTTTTTTGCTCGGTTGGAGTTCAAACCGATGATATTTTGTGTTCTTGTGATTCGTTTGAAGGAATGATTCCTTATCGGAAGCTGGTGATCCAAGAAATTCATAAGTATCAAACTCCAAAAGATTTGATTCAAACTCACAAAGTTCAAGTTGTGGAAAGTGGGTTTGTTCATGAAGTCAAGTCTTCAAGATGCAAAAAGATGAGAAAGAAAAAGAAGAAGAAGATCAATCGCAAAAACAAACGGGTTTAATCTAAAAAATCGTCAAAATGTTGTGAAGCCGAAATCCGTGAAACAAATTTGGGTTCCAAAGCAACAATCTCCAAAGGTTGCATTGAATTTGAAGTCAAAACCCAAAAGTGTTGGTGGTTCTTTTGAAGATGTTCTTGGATCGATGAAGAACATGAAGAACGAGTTGTACAACACGCATAGTGGGTGGTACAATGTTCAAATTGGAGATTTTCTCCTTCCGACAAAAGAACCAAGATCTTCTAAATTTGATTCGTTCGTTGCAAATGGATCTCGATTCGTCAAAAAGGCATCTCAAAATTCTCAAATGGATTCCAAAACGTCCATGATTTCGATTAGTACTTTGCGTTTTTCATTTTTGATCGATTTGCCTCATTGGATCAAATCATTTTCAACCCCGTTGATTGATCCAATTATTTTTGTTTAGATCAAATTCAAAACCAAAAATCATATTCTTCTAATTTCTTTTTCAATTTGAAATCAAATTTTTTAGTTTTGAACTGATCACTGTTCATTAATGCAAAACATAAACTCAATATTCTCAATCCATAATTATTCAAAATTGAGCCCAATCTAAGTCTTTAGCCCAAATCATTTGAGTTGTTACTGTTCATCGATCAAATCTTGGGATTTCATATGATATTGACTTTTTGAGTCAATATTCACAATCAAACAAAAAGGAATTTATTCTCGAACAAATTGGAATCGAAAGTATTTTAATTGTAGATTAAAGACGATTTCATCTGATATCACTTGGACGAGATCGACATCGAACATGTACATGAAATCGGAAGTTGGGAATCGATGACTTGTAGAACGAAACATGATTGGATTCTTATCATTCGATAGCGATGACCTGTAGAACGAAAGCTAGATGTCGACTCTGTTTTGGTTTGCTAGCGATTAGAAGGTTTGATTATCTGAAATCGAAATAGA